CAGAGGGATTCGAGTATGGAGAAGTTTCTGGCGGAAATATTCTGAGTTTGAAAAACTCGTCCAAATTCATAGGGGAGTTATCAAAACCAACCCCCTGCTCTTTTCACATAAATTCGTTCTGCTCTTTCTCTTCGGCATCGCAATCGTTGCTTGATGCTTTTTTGACCCGTGGGGTACTTTTTAACTTTGCATTGGACTCGTACATTTTCACACTAGAAAGTGAGGCTCAATCCTTTCATTTATTTGACAGCTACAATGGCACAGCAAAAGACTTTTACGTTATGAAAGAGGGGCGTGAAGACTATTTCGCTGTTATCAAGGGTGAGAAATTCAAGATCCACTCTCCTGCTGAGATCGAGGGAAATTTCTTCGCCTCCTCAAACTTGCCATTTCTATTTGTTTCAGTTGAAAAGTTTTTCCATATCATTATTCCAGTACCTCTGTCAAAACCTGAAGATTCGTACAACTTTACTTTTGTCAAGGCGACGTGTAAAGATTATCATTTCAACATTGAAGGCCATCGTCGAGAGGTCGACTTTGCCATAACCTACTGGCTTGCCTTTTTAAGGTACTATGACAAGGCTATGGAATACGTTTCCTTCTACACGAGCATTTCGTTCAAACTCACTGAAATTGAATTTCTTATTTTGCGAAATATCCTCGAAATCAAGCACCGTGATCTCGACTACCTTGTGGTGCAAGCTTGGGCAAACAATCTCGTTGGAGAAAATGACATCTTTTTCAAAAGCTCTTTAAATGCAGAGGATATGGTCGCAAAGATTACCGACATTGCGAATTTGATTCCCGTTATTCCATTTAAGTATAAAACCCCCCTTTTCTCTTTTCTCCCTAATCTTACGGATCACACACATCTTTGGGCATATTCTAACGATTTAAAGATTTCCTCTAACATTGGCAAACCCTCAGCGTTGCAACCAAATATCTCCAAACTCAAAGAGGCTATCAACTGTCCTAAAAATATTCTGGATTCTTATACAGCTTCAAAATTAACACTGAACAGCTGGGATAAAATCGGATCTTTTAAATTTCCTAGCTGTGTCTCTTTTCTATATGACCTAGCTGACTCATCCAAAAATCTAGCCGATTTTCGGAAAAATTTGAATCATCGCTATCTCAATTTTATACGATTTTATCTTGAAATGGAAGAGAATAGCGTCGAATACAAATTTGCTTGTCTGTCTCATGTTCTTTTCATGGTTTTCAATACATTCCACAATACGGAAAAACTCTCAGCCTTCATTTCCGACTTGAAAGATAAAAAGGTTCCCTCAAGAGGTGTTTGTCATCTATCAATCATCCATGGAATTTCAATCCTTTTCTCCTTACAAAGAGTCGATTAAGATCTCTGCAAGGATCTCATCTCCGCCTACTGATTATGAAAATCTCCTAAGCATAACTATGACAAGGAAAGCTCTTTCATCTGATCTTTTCAAGAAAGCGGCGAGCTTTATATTATTTAGTGACTCTTCTTTATTTGTAGAGAAATTGAAATCAATAGTTTCCACTGATGAGCTTTTTTCTGGATTTCTGCTACGAGCTTTAAAAGATCCGAAGCTTCTTGCGCAAATATTGCTCTGCGGGTCCGTTGAGGAACTCAGGAGCTTTTTCACGGTTAGTGATCAAAACATCCAAGAGCTACTTGATCTTTTGTGGTCTCATTTCATCACATCTTTTTATTGCGAGTCTTCCCTTTTGCAAGAAAATACTTTTTGCGAGGCTCGGCTCCAGAAAAAGGAAGCTTTTACTCAAAAAGGAAGATCTTTGGCTAACCAACCATTAACGGTCACTTTGAAAGATAAGGTTTTCATTCTCATCGAGTTTTTTACGGGATATCCCTTGTATGAAGAGCAGAGAAAAATTATCTCCTGCATTTTAGACAAAATGATGTATGGAAAATCTTACGTTGTGCAGCAAGGAATGGCTGGCGGAAAGACCACACGGTTCGGCCCTGCTGCCGCAATCGTAGCGACGTCGATTTTAAGAAAACTGCCAATCTTCATCTTTCCCAATTCCATCCTCAATCAGAACATTGCCCAATTGCAGCAGTGGCTTTTTGACTTTTTCGGGAAAAGCGTTTTTCAATTCAAATCAGAAAGATCGGCTTATGGATACAGCGGACCGTATCTGCGACATTTTTACTATCGCCTTACAATGGCCCACCATCGCGGAGACGTATTCGTGTCTTCTATGAGCAACATACAATGCCTGTTGAATGCTAGGAAGGAACTGCTGTTGCGAAACAGAAAAGAATCAAACAAGTCTCTTCTTTGGGTTTTGAGGATCTTGCATTTCATTGAACATTATTCGATATTTGTGCTGGACGAAGCAGATGAAATCATGGATGCTTCATTTCTATACAACTTTGACACAAACGAACCACATCAAAAGAACTGGGATCTCATTAATGTGCTTATTGACTGTTTTCTGTTTTTAAGAGACAAAAAGGTATTCCGATCGCAAACTGGAGCCCCGATCACGATTTTTGAGATCAAGGAGCCTCTTACGCCGTTTACTGTTGGGCTCTTCAAACAAAAGTTGAACGAGCAGCTCAAGGATATTTTGTTAAAAACCAGCGATGAAACTCGCGTGTTGATTATTGATAGCATTTTTGTCAATTGTTGGGAAAAAGTCCTAAATGTAGGATATGGAGTATCTCTGGTTTCTCCCGTTCCATATCCCATCCCATATTCGATGGCAAATACACCAAGGGAGGGCAGTAGTTTTGGAAACCAGCTGTTTATCATTGCCATTTCGTTAAAGTTTTACCTTGAAAACGATATGAAAGATCTCAATGTGCCTCCTTTATTTTTCACAGAAGAAAATATCTACTCCACTCTGGAGCTCTATTATGATTATGAGAAACTAGAAAAAATCAAGAGGGAAACCAAGTCATCTGTTTTTGAGCTCTTCAGGCTTTTGAGGGAAAAAATATATGAAAATGACGACAATCT